ACAACAATAAAAACGGGCTGGGGAGAAGACACAGCAGTAAAGAGCTGGCTGCTCTGCTAGAGGACCTGGGTTTGATACATTGGCTCACAGACACCCATAACTCTAGGTCCAGGGGATCCGAAGCTCTCTTCTGACCTCCACAGGCACAGACATACATGGGGGCAAAACACTTACAGGCATAAGATAAATTTTACTAAAGGAAATAAACATCAAAAAGAAGCCAGTCAACTAACAGTAATACATGAACCTTGAGTCAAACAAATTGCTTTAAGAAACACATTTATAGAAAGAATTGGAATCTGCACATTTGAATATTTTATTTATTTATTTAGAGGCACGGTTTCTCTGTGTAGCCCGGGCTGTCCTGGAACTCACTCTGTAGACCAGGCTAGCCTCAAACTCACAGAGATCTGTCTGCCTCTGCTTTCTAAGCACTGGGATCAAAGATGTGTGCCACCGCCGCCTGGTTATAAACAATCCTTATTGTGAGGGCAGCTAGAGAGACGGCTCAGCAGTTGAGCATTTATTGCTCTTTCAGATGACCTGAGCTCGTGCCCACACTCACACGGGGCGGCTCACAGCTGCCTGCAACTTCAGGATCTGACATTATCTTTTGACCTTTGTAGGTACTCACGCACATGGTAAACCCTCACACAGACACACATACATACATGTTGATAAAGACGAAAGTGAAAACTTGAAAACATAATGACCCTTGTTTTAGAGGAACATCAGAATACTTTCAGTTGAAAAGGTCTGATAACTGGGATTTGCTTCAAATTTATACAGGCGCAGGCAGGAACGTATCTGAGAGAACTCAGGAGCTGAGTTGGTAACAGGTGCCAACAGGTTTATGTTTAGTGTGTCACTTTGCTTACTTTTGTGTTTATTGGAATTTTCCTAAACAAACCCTTTTTTGTGTTTTATTTAACTATTTTTGAGTCAGTGTCTCATTATGTAGATAAAGCTGGACACCCAGCTATTTTGTGTGGTGTGTGTGTGTGTGTGTGTGTGTGTGTGTGTGTGTGTGCCTGTCTGTTTTAGCTGAGGCAGTGTCTTACTCGGGCTGGCTTTGAACTTTCTGTTTCTGCCTCCCAAGAGCTGGAATTACAGGTATAGCCCACCATATCCAGCTTCCCTGTGTTCTTAAAGCAAACACGGACAGTTGAGGGCTGGAGAGATGGCTCAGTGGCTAAGAGCACTGGCTGCCCTTTCAGATGACCTGGGTTTGATTCCCAGCAACCACATTGGCAGCTCACAACCATCTGTAACTCCTGTTTCAGGAGATCTGACACCCTCTTCTGGCCTCTGTGGGTACTACAAGCACATGGTACACAGATACACAGGCCACACACATAAAGTAATAATAATAATAATAATAATAATAATAATAATAATAATAATAGTAAATTTAATCTCTTGGTTTTCAAGGGTTTGTTGTTGTTGTTTGTTTAAATCCAGACTGGTCTCAAACTCGTGGGCTCCAGGGATGCTCCTTCAATCTCCCAAGTATCGAAGGCTACACACCCCATCTTAGTTCTTCCTGGAGGAACACGATAGCTAGTCATTCTGTGAGTTTTACGCCTGCTGTCTCCTTAGCTCGAACTAACTCTAGGACTTACACGTTATTAGCACTCCCATTTTACAGATGAGGAAATAGAGAGATTAATAATAGCTAGAGTTTACTAACCATACGCCACATTTCAAGTCCTGGGCTAATTGCTTTAATTGAATTTATTCATTTAATCTTCTCCCAGCCTTCAGAACTGAGCTGAGCACTATTATCATCCCCATTTTATAGGCGAGGAAATTGAGGTTTGGAGAGGGTAAGGAGCTTGCTGGCAGTGGATAGTCCCTGTGTGGCCCCAAAGGCCAGGTACTGGTCACTGAAAACTCAGCAGTTCTGAGCAAGCACCCCCATTTGTTGTCGGCTAGACAGATGCCCTTGGGTGGGTGGCTCGGCTTCCCGAAACCTGGCTTCCAACCTGCAACTGGGAAATAATAACAGCTCCCTAATGAGGTAACCGTGGAGATTAATGTGACAGTTTTAACCAAGGAGTCGGCTTGGTGTCTGACCAACAATGAGGGGTTCAACTGATGTAAGGCAATTTTGTTATCTTGTTTCTCATTCGGCCTACCAAAGTCAGATTACCTTAAGAGTTTAGAAAATTCTTTTTTTTTTTTTTTAATTTTTATTTTATGTGCATCGGTGTTTTGTCTGCATGTATAACTGTGTGACTGTGCCAGACCCCCTGAAACTGGAGTTACAGACAGTTATGAGCTGTCATGTGGGTTCTGGGAATTGAACCCAGGCCCTCTAGACGAGCAGTGAGCGCTTTTAACCTCAGAACCATGTCACCAGCCCCCATAAAAATTTCTTTTAAAAATGAGGTGGCTCATGTATGTAATCTCAGTACTCCAGAGTACTCTAGAGCCTGAGGGCCTGAGAGCCTGTCGAAAGAAAGAAAGAAAGAAAGAAAGAAAGAAAGAAAGAAAGAAAGAAAGAAAGACCGGACCAAGGCTGCATAGACCAGCTCTTAGTGTTCTTGCAGAGCATGGATTTGATCTCAACCCAGTTTTATAAAACTGGGCATGGTGACCCATGTAAGTAACTCAGCATTTGGGAGGCAGCAACAGAATGATTAGATGTTCAAGGCCAGCCCAGCCAACATATGACTACATCTCAAAATGAAGTATTAAACAAATGACCCCTTGTTTATTTTATGAGGACATTCCTCCAGTATTTTTTTTGTAGGGGAGAGAGGTGTTTTACTTTTACTTTCGTCTATAGCTGAGACAAGGTGATGGTGCATGTCTTTAATCCCAGCACTCAGGAGACAGGAGGATCTTTGAGCATTTGAGGCCAGCCTGGTCTACAGAGCAAGTTCCAGGCCAGTCAGAGCTGCATAATGGGACCCTATCTCAAACCAAAAACAGACAAAACAAAACCAAAACTCAAATCCAAAATAAACAACCCTCACAGTTTGTAATTTATAGCAAAACTGAGTGGAAAGCACAGAGTTTTCCCCATTTTTGCCCTCCATCGTTCTGTACTATGGTCATACATCAGAACTACACACTTGTCATAGTCCGTGCACGCTCGGGCACATCACAACCACACAAAGTCTACAGCATACGACCTCTGTTGTGTTTCCAGGACAGAGTCTTACACACCCAGGGTGGCTTGGAATGTGCTTCTTGCCTCTACCCAGCAAGTGTGGGACCCTCGTCACAAGCACTTCCCAGCTGTCTTAGATAGGGTTAGCCTTGCTGTGATGAAACACTAGGACCAAAAGCATCTTGGGGAGGAAAGGGTTTATTCAGCTCACACTTCCACATCACTGTTCATCATCAAAGGAAGTCAGGACAGGAAGTCAAACAGGGCAGGAAACTGGAGGCAGGAGCTGATGCAGAGGCCAGGGAGGAGTGCAGACCATGGATTGGTCAGCCTGCTCTCTTCTAGAACCCAGGACCACCAGCCCAGGGATGGTACCACCATGGGCCCGGCCCTTCCCCATCAATCACTAATTAAGAAAATGCCCCACAGGTTTGCCTGTAGCAGATCTTATGGAGGCATTTTCTTAATTGAGGCTTCCTTCTCCCAGGTGACCTTAGCCGGTGTCAGCTTGACATAAAACTAATTATCCAGCACACCAGCTGAGGTTAGTCATGGGTGCTATACAATCTATGGATTTCCAAAAATGTATCAAGACACGTGTTCACTGATGTAGTGTCATACAGAATAGTTTTACCACCCTGAAAACAAACAATCCCTGAGCTCTGCCCTTCTTTCCTTCCTTCCACCCCTGACACGACTAATCTTTCATAGGTTCCTCCATAGGAACCTTGCTTGCTCTGCCTTTTCCAGAACAACATATAATTGGAATCACATAGTATATAGCTTTTTTCCAATTGGCTTCTTCTACCTAGTAATATGCAATAAAGTTCCTCTGCATCTTTTGACGACTTGGTTGCTTATTTCTATTTGGCATTGAATATTTCATTGTCTCAATGTACCATGCTGATTTAGCCTCCTATGGAAGATATCTTCTACTGAAGATATCACTTCCGTGTTGTAGCGATTATAAATGAAGCCATTAGAAAGTCATGTGCAGGCTTTTGTGTGGACAAAATTCATTTGTGTAAATATCAAGAAGAGGTTATATTTTATAAGAAACTGTCTTTCAGAGTACGTATTACGGCACATACCTTTCCTCCCAGTACTCGAGGCAGAGGCAGAGGCAGAGGCACACGCAGGTGGATCTCTGAGTTCCAGGCCAGCCTTGTCTACAGAGCAAGTTCCAGGACAACCAGGGCTACACAGAGAAACTCCATCTCAAAAAACCAAATTAAATTAAATTAAACAAATCGTCTTTCAAAATTGTGTCATTCTGTACTCCCACTACCAGCTGGTGTTTGAACTTGTAATCTTTTCCCTTTCCATGCTGGGGTCTGGACCTGGACCTTGTGGGTGCTAAAGAGACCTCTCAGAGTCTCGAGGCATAAGCTATTGTGAGCCTGTTTTCACGGTGGGATGTAGCTCTGGAAGTGGCCCCCTTGGATTTGGCCAGTTGGTACCATCCAGCAGTGACTGTGTGTACCGCTACAGAGCCCCTCTGGCAGCGGCAGCCACCAGACTCAATTTCGTCTCTGAGCAGTTCTACCCTGACCAAGCCCATGAATGTCCGGTGTCTTGGCTCGAATTCCAAACATTTAGTGCGTCCCTCTGGTGTCTTCCCTGGGCAGTGCAGCTCAGCACCTTTCAGACATGCTCCGCAGTCTCCAAAGGCTAGAGCGGACAAAGCCTAGGCAAGGCCTCCGGGACACGGCCGGGGCCTCTGAGTCCATCGCGGACACCGTCTGGGCAGCGCCGGGCTCCCGCCTGGCCCGGGTCTGGCGGCGCGCCCGGGCATCAGGCCGGCAGGCGCCTATCCCGCCAGCCGCCAGCAGGGGGCGCCCTTCGATCCGCTGGGCTCGCGCGGGCGCGGGGGGGCGGCGCTGCGCTGCGCGGCGCTGCGCTCCAGCCGGGACCCGGCCGGGGCCGCTGGATGCCGCGTCTCCGCTCCTGCTGCCTGCCGGGCGGGCTCCGGCGGCCGGTGAGTACCGGGCGGCCCCACAGCGGAGAGCCGGGCCCGGGAGGGTGGCGCGGTGGGCTCGGCCCGGCCGGCGGGGCCCGTGCGTTCCTGCTCCTCCCCTGTCCCCTGGAAGCGGCGGCCCGGACTCCAGGCTCTGTCCCTGGCGGCGCCGCGGGGCTGGACAGCTCGGGTGGGGGCCGATCCGGAGCGGCGGGCAGGGAAGGCGCGGGGCCCGTGCTGGCAGGCTGGGCGCCGGAGGCAGGATAGGGTGGCCTGCGGCTTGGGAGGACTGAAGGTTTAAAGGACCCAGGTGGCCCAGAGCTGCGGGATGAGGGCTGCAGCCTCGGGACCTGGTCGGGGGCATCCCTGGGCTAGGCCCGAGACCCCCAGATGAAACGAGCGGGTGAGGCACTGAGGAAGACAGTGGGGAGAGCGAGCACCTCCGCCGAGTCCTTTATCCCTGCCAGCGGCCTTCACCCTTTCACTGCCAGGCCGACAGCGGGCCCCTCTCAAAGGAGCAGCTGCTAGACAGCTGGCAAAACAATGGAGACCCTGCTTCCCGGACTCCCCCCGCTCTTGGGACAGATGACGGTGGGGTGGGCGAATGCCAGGCTAGGGGGACTGGCAGTGTAGGCTGCCCGGAGTAACTGGTTGCCCACTTCGCCTTTCCCTGCAGGGGGTGGGGTGTGTGTGGGAAGGCAGGGCAGCCTGCCCCAGGCCTCTGGGAGCGAGCACGGACGCCCCGCCCTGCGAACCTGCCGTGCCAGTTGTTTCGCCAATGGAAGGGGAGGCGGCAGGGTCAGGTGCCCCCGCCCCTCCCCGTGCAAGAGGCACGCAGGTTGGTACCCAGCGTGACCCAAGGGGTGGGTCACACTCCTGGAAGAGATAAGGCCTGCAGGGCCATACCCCAGGTCGGGGCTTTGGAGTGGGGGTGTTGCCCTTTGGCAAGGCACATGTGTCCTCCTGATTAGCTGGGAAGGCTGCCGCCAGAATGAGCTAGAGGTGGCTGGAGGTGGGAAGGGAAGGCAGCCAACTTATTTTTGTACTCATTTTGCCTGGCCTCTCCGCCAACCAGGCGTGTGTTTGTCAGCCTGTGTGTGGGGAAGGCAGGGAGGCATTTCCTGGAGGGGGCTCTGCTGTCTAGGGTCTTCCTGCCGTTTAGGTAGTCCTCCAGAGGGTAGAGTTGGGATCCTTTCCCACTTCATCTCACTGATGCCCGGGCTTGTTTGGGTAGGTTGTCTTTGCCCCTCTGTGTTCCTGACAGCTCTGTGCTGAGGAGGCCCTAAAGGTGCCCCTGTGGTACAGTTGAGGGAGCTCGTGGGGGCTAAGTTTACCCCGGGACCACAAGCAGGCCACCCTAGCAGGATGATGAATCAGGCTGTCCTGGCTTATGCTCACCAAATCTGGAGGCTTTTTCTTGAGCAGGTTGGTGTCCCGTTGCCATGGCAATAGGCCTGGATAAACTGTGCTCCCACCCTTTCTGGTTCTGGGGCTACTTTCTATTTGGGGATGTTGAAAGTTGCTCTCCTGAGGTCTCCGGCTTCCTGACAGGCCTTGTTGGCTCTTGTCAAAGGCCCGCCACCTCCTCAGCTTCCCCTCCATCCTTTTGTGATGAGGCTTTCCAGGAAACATCTTCCTGGTTGTTGGACATGACTTGGTTGGTTATATATAGCCTTGGGTGGAGGTGTGCTGGGCTATCTGGAATTGAGGGTACTTGGAGTGGGGCCTCAATTCCAGGAAAACAATGGCTTTGGGATGAGCTGTTGTGTTGCAGGCTTAGGGAACAGAGGAAAGGTTGTAGGCAGGGGAAGAGGAGGAAAGGTCACAGGCTGCAGACACTTCCTTTGAGAGCTTGGACTTTGGATGCCAGCTATGGCATCTCTGAGTGTCACGTTTGTTTGCTCTCTCCTGGCCTGGCTCAGGTCCCAGGTGGTGTGTCTGAGGGCTTCTTCCTCGGAAGCCCTCATCACATAGATGGTTCCCTTCCTAACTCCAGGGCAGTCTGGGCGAACTGCCTAGACCCCTTTAACGACCTTGCTGGGGGCTGCTGACCGAAGGGAGCATGCGTCTTCCAAACCTGGGCCCCAACAGTCTAGGGCTCCCCGGGAGTAGGTGTCTGTGGGTGCGGCAGAATGGGGCTTACGTGAAAAGGGAATCCACCCTGCTGGGGTGGAGGCGCCGGGACTCCACCTGAAGCCTTCATCCAGACATAGTGTGTCAAAGGCTTGGAGGGCAGCAGGGCTGGGTTTGCCCTGGAGTGGGCATCCCAGACGGGAAGCGGAGCGTCAGCGTGAGTGGGCCCTCCTCCGGAGGGGAAAGCTGAGGGGCTGGGGGAGCCACTGTCTCCACTGACAGGTTCTCACGGGTCTCAGGACCTGCTGAGCGAAGTTTTAGTGCCTTGGGTTGGGTCCTGGGTGCTTTGAGACCTGGATACCCCGTTGGAGTCCAGTCAGCATTTTCTGTCCCCACCCTAGCTCTACTGAGTCTTTTTTATTTTATTTTTTAAGCCATTTTTCAGGGGTAGCCAGAATTAGAGGGTAGAGAGCAGTAGAGTTTGGAACTAGAGTGACTGGCGGGGTGGTGACCCTCCAGGTCTTCCGCTTGCTTCACCTCCCTTCCCTCTGTGGAAGCAGGAATTGAACGGCTTGTACATGATCCACAGTCCCTTGACATTTCTGTTTAGAGAAACGGGTTTTAAGTTGTCAAGTGATGATTTTTACAGGGTTCTAGGGTGGGTTTCTCGTTGCCAGGTACTTCATCATTTCTGGCTAGGAAAGAATATATATACATATATATATGTATATATATATATAACATATATGTATATATGTATATAAAATTATCTGGTATTCGGAGAGATGTTGGTATTGGGTTCAAGGTCACACAGCAAGTTGGAGGCAGAGAGGGATTCGAACCCGAATTTTGTAGTAGAGCAGAATTTTCCTCAGGGGGAGCTTTGGGGCCAAGTCTGTGCTGTCAAGCCCCTGAAGATTTTACGGTTAGAAGACCCGAGGCTGCAGAGGAGATGCCACCTGCTCAAGGTCACACAGAAGGGGCGGGTGGCCTGCAGAGCAGTGGCCGGACTGGACTATGGGCTGGGGTGCGGGCAGGAGGCTCTGGAGGCCGAGATGACACTTGCAAAGGCAGGGCTGGGCCTCGGGCCTTCTGGGTCCTCCTGGGCCCGCAGCTTTCTCCGTGCGGTGGGAGTGGACTCCTCAGTAGCCAGGGGCTGCCGTGCGGGCCACTGGCGTGGAAACTGCCGAGAGCCGAGCCCCGGGGCTGCTGGGCTGCTCTGGGCGGACGGGCTGATGTCATGTGAGAAGCCTGCACACCTGGAGCCCAGATAAGCTCCGTGTGACCTGGCAGTGAGTCACGCGGCGCTGCGGAGCTCAGCAGAACCTGGGCGGGTGCGGCGGGCGAGGGCCAGGTCAGCCTGCGCGACCCTGCATGGCGCTGCGCCTCGCACGCAGGACTGGGAGAGGGGCCGCGGGCTGGGGGGAACCGCGGCTCCGGAGGTCAGAGGCCAAGCCACCGAGGCCGGGCCCCCTCGGGAAGGCATTTCCTTTGTATTTATTTATGAGTGCGGGGTGGGGTGGGGGCTGGGTGACTGACCTAAGGATCCATCCGTGGCCGCTAAAGCTATAGTGGTTTCCATTTCCTGGGGTTTCTGCTTTGCCCGCGGCAGGATGGCCCCTGTAAGTCTGTCCTGAAGCTGCAGAAATCGCTGGAAGTTTTTGAAGCCAGGAAAGCAAGCCTAATACTGTCCATGGCAGCGGGTTGCTCACGACCTTGTCAGGACTCCCTTTTTCAGTTTTTGAAATGGCCACCCTCCCCACCTCTGACTCTAGGGTCAGACCTTTGTTCTTTGGTGCAGCGATGGCTCCCAAACCCAGGCCTGTCACAGGTGCCAAGCCCAACCCTTCTCCGCTGAGCTATATGACTAGCTCTGCAGAACTTTTAAAGGCTTGTTATAAGGATATAGAGAGAGTTACGTTGAAACACACTTTTTATGTTATGTAGAAAATAGGGAATGCAGAAAAGTCGAAGAAAAGTTGCACAAAATTCCACTCAATTCCCTCGACCATAAGCAGACACACGCACCTACCAGCTGAATAGTCACACTGTAAAAAATTATAACATGGGCTAAAAAAATGGCCCAGCTGGTAAAGGTTCTTGCTGCCAAGCCTGATGATTTGAGTTCGACTCCTGGATAGAACTGACTCCTGCAAGTTGTCCTCTGATGCCCACAGTGGGGCTGCAGGGAGTATGCCCATACACACAGACATAAATAAATAAAATGTAATAAAAATTAAAATCATATATATATCACAAATCTGTTTCAAAATCTGTATTTACACCTCAAAACATACATACCCCCCCATGAACACGCAAATAAAATATATAATAGACATGTGTACATTCAGGTACACATACATACGTACACATGTTATAATTTTTTAGAACATGGGCCTGGGGATTGGGCTCAGCAGTTACGAGCACTGTCTGCTCTTCCAGAGGACCCAGGTTCAGTTCTTAACACTCATATGGAGATTCATAACCTTCTAGAACTCCAGTCCTAAGGAGCCAGTGCCTCTATGTGCAACAGGCATACAAGCAGTGCCTGCAGGTACGTTCAAGCGAAACGCTTGTGCACATTGTAGACCAGGCTGGCCTTAAACTCACAGAGACCCACCTGCTTTTGCCTCCCCAAGTGCTGGGGTTACAGGTGTGCTCCACCATACCTGGCAACAACTTGCTTTTTTCAAAAATTAACAGTATAAAGTTTTTCCAGTTAGTACACAGATGTAACTTCCCTTTCAGTCTGGGGAATTGAAACCGAGGGCCTTGTGGTAGGCGAGCACTCTAACGCTGAGTTATACCCACAGTCTCTACCTCATTCTTCTCAATAACTTCCTAGCTATTTTATGATTTAGCAGTTTTCCTGTGATACGCATTTAGGCGTCTAGCTTTGCTATTATAAACAAAGCCACAAAAGATTAGTTATGTTTGTTGTGTGAAAT